GGAGTTTTTCTTTTGCTTTTCAAGGAGAGGAGCAAACGGGACGGGGCGGGGGTTGTGCAGGGAGAAGGGTACAACAATGAATGAATGGAATTCCAAAATCTCTGTAGATGTTCATTGAAATGAAAAATAAACAAACTAAATTTTTTAAAAAATGCCATCTCAGATGGAACTTGCAGTGAACACAATAATGTTCACATTTAATAAATTTGCTGGGGATAAATGCTACTTAACACTGGAGGACCTGCAGTACTTTTCATGGATTTTTTTAAAACCAAAAAGACTCTCTGAGTGTAAACAAAACAATGAGGGACCTGGGTCAGTATCAAGATGGCACAGTGACTTCTAGAGCTTCCTTTACTGACGGCTGGCTTCACCATCGCATGCAGTGGCTGTTTCATAGTACATATGAAGCAGAAGGCATGGAAGCAGAAATAGATAGAATCATTTCCACCCTGACAGGAGTTATCCTATAGCTGCTTACAGAATCTGTCTCATAGCTTTCCCCATTTAAAGATTTCATGAACAAATTGGAACCTTTTAGAATGTGAACAAATAAAATCTAATTTTGACTAGTATAAAAATAATTTTATATCATTATTGTGTTTCTGACCATATGTAGGCGAAACCTAACCAAGCTGTCCCTGATCTTCAGCCACATGCTGGCAGAACTGAAAGGAATCTTTCCCAGTGGACTCTTTCAAGGAGACACATTTCGGATTACTAAAGCAGACGCTGCTGAATTTTGGAGGAAAGCTTTTGAGGAAAAGTAAGTTTCAAAATAACACATTTAACTTCTATAAAATGAAAACTTGTATTACAGATTTTTTATTTGTTTTAAATATCTCTAACATTATAACCTAGAAAAGTTTAGTACAAAATAATTTACATATTTATACCCACACTTCCCAGCTTTGTTAAATACTAACCTGATTTTTGCCCTGTTGTTTTGTGTGGGTTATTTTAAGAATTAAAACTTTTAAATCCATGGTCTTTGATAAAATCTCTCTCCATCTATTCATTAATGTTTGCATTTCAGATTTTTGTTACCACAATCAGTTTTGCTGTGAACAATGTTATTTTTGTCTTTTTCTGCTCTTGCGCAAGAGCATGTCCTTTCTTACATGCCTCAGGGTGGAACTACTGAGTTTCACATCTTCTGCTTTGCTGAATATTTCCTAATTTTCTGAAGTGGTTGTACCAGTTCATAAGAAGTGTCCTAGGAGCTTCAGTTTGGCCAATACTTACGATATAAATTGCTATCATATCTTACTTTTCAGTGTCTGATCACAAGGGAGGATATACATCTTTTCACATTTCTAATCTATTAGAATTCTTATTTTTACTTTCCTATTCTTTGTCTATTTCCCCATTGAGTTATTTGTCTTTTTCTTGTTTTAGGAGATTTTACATATGTTCCAATTACTAGTTGCTAGTCAGTTAGGTCGATTACAAATGTCTTCTCCAGGTCTATGCCTTTTCTTTCTACTTCCTTATGTTTAGTTTTAGTGTACAGAAGTTTAAAGCTATATAGACAGAGAAGAGGTCATGGTACTAGGGATATTGTAGCTAATGTTAGATGGATCTTAGCTGAAAGCGGGGAATACCAGACGAATGTCGATCTGTGTTTCACTGACTATGCAAAGGCATTTGACTGTGTGGATCATAACAAACTGTGGCTGACTCTGAGAAGAATGGGAATCCCAGACCACTTGATCATTCTAAAGCGAAACCTATACTTGGACCAAGAGGCAGTCGTCAGAACAGAGCAAGGGAACACTGCATGGTTCAAAATTGGGAAGGGCGGAC